TGGCTGATGCCCTTAGGCTACAGGTGCTAAGCCTAAATAACTTTTTTAAACCATATATGTATGTATCTTCAAACAATACATGTTTAGCCATTAAAGAACAGTGGTTCAAGTTTCTAACAGTTGATGACTGTGCTACCATCCTTGTCAAAATACCAGTTGTTCTGGTGCATGTCTGGGGACATCTACAGGGGCCCACAAAGCAGGCTGGCTTACTCATGAGTGTTCACAATGTCTTTCCTCTCCTACTTCTGCAAAATAGTTTGGCAGTTCCTCAAAAAGCTAAACATAGAATTAGCACATGACCCAGCAATTCCACTCCTGGAAATGTACCCAAAAGAATGAAAGTACCAATGTTCACAACAGCATTATTCAAAACATTAAAAAAAAAATACTCAAAATAACCAAAAGGTAGAAACAAACCATCAACAGAAGAAAGTATAAACAAAATATCCCTGCTGATGGAAGTGTCTTGCAAGTCCCCTGGATGGACTCACGCAGAGGATGTCTCTGTTTCCAGGGTGCTATTTCCTGATGTTCCCTCCACCCCATAAATGTTGCAGGGAGTTGTGAATGGGTGTGATGAACACAGCTTCCTCCCAGCTCTGCACCACACTGTGTCATCTGGAACCCAGGGCAACATTAGTCACAAAAACAGACCTGTCAGTTATTCCCTGTCCACATCCACAAAACGTTTCTCAAAAGTCAAACACCAAAACAAAACAAAAAGCAAAGAAGCAAACCAAACCTACCACCCTCAACAGAGGAGGTAACATTGATCCATGGCCAGGGCCTTTCCATTCATAAATATCCGGGAGACACTGTGTATTCTACTCATAATGGACGAGAAGCCTCAGAAATGTTATTTGCTGCCACAATGTAAATCCTCTGAATCCTCTGCACTCAGAGCAGTGGAGACCTCATAGTTTCTCTAAGAAACATCAGTGGATAGATGCTTTGCCTCATCTAGTCACAACTGAAATGTCACCTCATCAGTGTCACTCGTTTACGTCACCTTATTTTATTGTCTTCATGGTACTTATTCCCACCCTCCCTATTTTAGTGTTTGTCTCCAACTTCTAGAAGGTAACCGTCATGAGTGGAGGGACCTTCACTATTGTATCCCCAGAATATAAAACAGGGCCCAATGCACAATAAATGTTCAATAAATATTTCATGAATGAACAATAATTATTGTTTGAGTATTTAGCATGTGGTAGGCACTATTCTTAAAGCCATACATGTAATAACTAATTCCCAAAGAAATCCTCTGAAGTAGGGAGTATTATTATCCATATTTTATAGATGAAGAAACTGAGGGACAGGGAGATTAAGTAACAAGCCCAAAGTCATCAGCTAGTAAGTAATCATCTTGGTAAGCTACTGCCACAGAACAAACCATCCCAAAACCTAGTGGCTTAAAACAACAGTGAACTCTTTTTTCTTATGGTTCTATGGGTCACTGGTCTTGTCTGCATGTTTCTGACTTGAATTACTATGAATCACACAATTACTACGAGTGAGCAGCTTGGGCTTGAGTCTTCTGAAGGCTTAACTGGACAGGCCTTTCACAATGACTTCTGCACTCACTTGTGTGGCACCTTAGCTACAAAGACTGGAGCACCCAGGGGCTGTCTGAGCAGTTTTCTCTCTCTGCACAAGTAGGCTGGGCTTTCTCAGAGCACAGTGTCCTGTACGGCATCTAGCTTTCCCCTGAGTGCTTGTTCTAAGAGACTAAGGCAGAAGCTGAGAGACTTCTTATAACCTCACTCCAGAAGTCACACAGTGTCACCTCTCCCCCTCCTGTTTCATGAGCCAGCTCAGATTCAGTAATGGGGAATACTAGGAGGGGTGGAGACTGGCAGGTCTTCTTTGGAGACTCATCATCACAACAGTGGAGCTGGTATTTGAACCTAGGCAGTCTGGCTCCAGAAACTACGCTCTTAGTAACTTCACTCTTAGTAACTTCATTCTTAACCACTATATCCTGATGTGTGTCTGTTAGGAATAAATAAATAAATTCCTTCTATAATTTGTATAATTAGAGGAGTCTATTCTGATGACTTGAAACTTCAAAGTCTCTATCTCTAAAGACGTTTTTTAAACAGAGAATTACTGTATTTGCAATTTTCTGACAACCCTTCTAAACACCTTGAAACACTAGTTTCAAAAGTCAAGGACACAGATTTGATGCTGGGATGGGATGTGGCTGGTTGAAGTACGGAGGGTTTGGAAGTATTACTGTGGACAAAGTCCATGGTCTTATGAAAGATCATATTTTAAATGAAGAAAGGACATAGTGAGCAGGAATGGGTATTTCCAAAGGGAACTCGCCATGCCCCAAAGGGATTACCATCCAGCTTGCAACAAGTTGGCCTGTAGACAAGTTCTACACAAACACCACCCTTTTATGCCTTATTACAGCCTTGGAAGAGAAGTTAAAAAAAAAAATAACATCACCACCATTTATAGAGCGTCTGCTTGTGCCAAGTACTGTGCCAAGGGCTTTTCATCTCCTGTCTCCTTCAGTCCTCACATCAACCTTACAAGGCAGTCTTGACCTTTAGATATCTAGGATACCAACTTCAGAAAGTTCCAAAAACTTCATTACATACCTGCGAACATGAATGTCTGAACTGAATATCTGAATCCACGTCAGTGTGACTCTCCAATGCCCATTATTCCTGTCCCTAAGCAATGCCACATGTGTGAACTACCACCAAGCTTCCTGTGTGCCACTGTTATTTGTGTCTGGGACAGCCCACCTAGTGAGAGCCTCCTTACATCCCCCAGCCCCATTTTGCAGTGTGATGTTCCAACCACTGCAGTCTCTGTGCCCAGCCAGCCCCTGATCTCTGGCAGGCATTTTACAAACTGTTTTAATGAACTAGCGAATTACAATGGCTTCAGAGGAGCTCAGTTGTATCCCAGGGATTTCAGAAGGTCTGTGCCAAGCAATCAAAGCCCTGTCATAAATTTCCAGGAGCACCTGGGAGCAGTGAAGTTGTCCCTGCGTACCCTGTGCCTCTTTCCTTGTCAGTCTGGTCCTTGTAACAGCCCATCTCTTTGACTAACTGGTCTTTCCCTCCCTCTCATTTTGGAAAACACTATTTTATTATATTCTATGCAGTGCTCAGGAGTGTCTTGGGGGGTGAGGTGGTAAAATAAAAGTGATGCTTAGTGGCAGGGCTTGTCCTCTGGGCAGCTTTAATTCCAACTCCCCATGTCTCTGTGGGCGTTTGACTTATTTTGGGATGTTTATATTGGTTTTCCAAAGACTTGCCACACTGACTCTCATAACCTAACAAATAACGTATCAGAAGAAAACACTTCCCTTCTCTCAAGTTCCTAGATCAGTGGTTCTCAACTTTCCTAATGACGCGACCCTTTAATACGGTTCCTCATGTTGTGGTGACCCCCAACTATAAAAGTATTTTCGTTGCTACTTCATAACTGCAATTTTGCTACTGTTAGGAATCGTAATGTAAATATCTGATATGCAGGATGTATTTAGACCACCCCTGTGAAAGGGTCATTCGACCCCCAAAGGGGTCACAACCCACAGGTTGAGAACCCCTGTCCTACAGTAAGAAACTCAAGAGTACCGAAAAGGGCTATTGCCACTGTTGATAAAGCTCTAAATTATAAGCTGCAGCTGTGTAAGCTGAGGCAGTGATTACATCTTTTGTAGGATCAAAGACCAACAATCTCTACCTATAACATTTCTCTGTGCAAGGAACATGGGACAGCAGCTATCCACAGGCGTACTTTCCCAACTCTAAGTGAAACAGTGTGTATGTGGGGGGAGAAATTCTTAGAATTAAGAGCCTTCTAAATATTCCCCTGGTCTCCAACATTAAGCAACCAGCAAATGAGACCATTCCCTTTTTTACGGTCAATACCTGACAGATTTTAAGGAATTTGCAAATTTATGGTACAATTCTCATTTGCCCACAATTTCACATCATAAATTGAACTCTGGAAGTGGGCAGGAGAATGTAAAAGTAATTTCATCAGTCCTTTACATAATACATTGTAAAAAATCCTTTCTAGGTGTTGGATCTCCATTAAGCTTCTCAATTTACAATGCTTTAAAAATATATTATCTTTGTATTCTATTATTATAGTCATATTTCAGGAAAGAATGACGTTGTTGGTCATGACTATATTAATAAAGTGTATCCCTTTTTAAAAAATTCTTATTCGTTCTCATTTTCTTCTCTATTCACTAAGCCCTTTCTCAGGCCTCGGCCTGAATACACCACTCAAAACACAAGCAGTATAAATAAGCACATTTATAAAACATCAAGTTTTCAATCAATAAAAACACACTCAACTTCCATGTGAAAAGTAAAGTAGGCTCGGCGCCTGTGGCTCAAGTGGCTAAGGCGCCAGCCACATACACCTAAGGTGGTGGGTTCGAATCCAGCCCGGGCCCGCCAAACAATAATGACAGCTGCAACCAAAAAATAGCCGGGCGTTGTGGTGGGCGCCTGTGGTCCCAGCTACTTGAAAGGCTGAGGCAGGAGACTCACTTAAGTCCAGGAGTTGGAGGTTGCTGTGAGCTGTGATGCCATAGCACTCTACCCGGGGGGACAGCTTAAGGCTCTGTCTCAAAAAAAAAAAAAGAAAAGTAAAGTAAAGTAAGGTGGCTGGTGCCTGTGGCTCAAAGGAGTAGGGCGCTGGCCCCATATGCTGGAGGTGGCAGGTTCAAACCCAGCTCCCAGCCAAAAACTGCACACACACAAAAAAAGTAAAGTAAAGCAAAATAAAAACAAGCAACAGAAGCCCTCAAAAGCAAGCAGAAAATGAAGCAAATTTAGAAAAATTAGATAGAGGCCCTAGTAGGAAAATGTCCCCTAGAGTACTCGCTTACATATTAGGGTTTACATTTGCCTTGTTTCCCAGGATTTAAGGCAGCAAGAAAAGCTTTTAAATTCTTCTAGCATCTTATCAACTGAAACCTACCTAATTAGATCAGTCACATATCATAATAATCATGAAGTTTCTGAATTATACTCTCTTATTAAAAAACAAACAAAAAATACTACGCTCTTATCCCATTCATAGAATGATCTTGGATATGCAGACATTCTATGTAAATTATACTCATTTTTACTATCTTTAAAAGTAAATAGTATCAACTCAATCATTGGGTTAAATTACTATTCAGGCAGCTGAAATAATGAGCCTAGTACAACAAATTCATATGTACATTTAAAAAGAAAATCCCATGGTTAAGAGTGAAATTTAAGTCTTTATATAATTCCAAATCCAGCATACAGTTGAAAGCCAGGAAATATGTGTTTAAGGCCAAAATTCCATTCCCCTATCTGTCCTGCTGTGGTTATGCCAGGCAAATAATAGTTATAGTAATTTTAGAACCACTTGCTATACCCTTAAGTATAATTAAGCAACTTAAACGTTGAGTTCCTGCCTAAATTCACTATTTGCTTTCTCAAATTATATCCTGGCACTAATCTTACTAGAACATCACTCTATGTCTCAATTTTCACATAACCCCATCCCCACCATGGCTGATTTTCTTCTCATGAAGCCATCTAGAAGTTATTGAGAAGACATAAATCCTAGTCACGTTTTTAATTTATACTTCTTGAAGCTAAATGTGAATACCATTTAAATTGAATCAGGCTTCTGGAGGACGGATTCATTCTGATGATTTTAACATACATAAGTTACAAAATTGCCCTTAAAGCAATGGTATAGGAGTCCCTTTATATATCGTTTGTTTGGCATATTTGGAATTGTTAAGGCACACGTTAAATAGCCTTGTGAAGTCAAATAAAGCCTCATAAAGGATAAAGTAACCATGTCTCAGTCTTAGAGTAGTACACATTTAAAATAAATTATAACAACTTTTATTCTTTGCATGGGGCAATAATTTTCATCTCTAATAATCTAAGATCTTCATTAGTTTTTAAAAGTGAAAACCAGCCTTATTACCACTACTTAAAACTACTTACAGTGACCATCGTAATGCACACACATAACTGTTACTGATTTTCTCGTCTAACTGCTCCCTACCAGATTATAAACTCCCTGAGGACAGAAACTATGCCTTGTCTTAGGGGCCCAATCCAATGCCTACTACATAGCAGGAGCTCAATAAATGTTGGTGAATGTTTATTATTTGATAATAAGTGCATAAGAGTGTAACTCTATTGCTGAGTCTGCAAACATTGTGCTAGTCTTTCTATACCATTTATAGATGTGATGATATTAGGTAAAGTACAAAATCTTTAGGTCTCAGCTTCCCCACTTACAATAAGGGCATACTAATGTCCATATCATCAATCTCATAGAATTAGATGCAAATGAAATAAAATCATTCAGTATATTTGAAGGTATGCTAAAAACCATATATGGTGTTATTATTTTGGTTTTATGATTTCTGTAACCAGCATAGAGTCATGTATCACATGATGATGGAGAGATGGATATACACTCTAACAAATGCTTTTGGAACTGATTTCATCACTGTGCAAACACAGAGTGCACTTACACAAGCGCAGATAGATGACACAGCCTAAACACACCTGGGCTATGAGGTATATACAGCCTGTTGCTCCTAAGCTACAAACCCATAGAGCACGTTACTGTACTGAACACCACAGGCCACTGTAACACAATTGTAAATATTTGTGTATCTAAACAGAGAAAAGGTACAGTAAAAATATGATAACAGGTGAGTCATTATGAAAGTTTTGAGATACACAAAAATCAAGAAAAAAAATCAAATCAAAAAATCATAAAATCCATGCAGACAAAAATACAAATGTAGCCCTCCCGGCAAGAATGAGGAGCCAAGGAAGTTGAAACTTGCACGGGTGAATCAGAAAGGATGCTGCTATTGGCTGTAGTTCTTGAAAGTGAAATAATAAACCATACACAGTCTGTCTCAAAAATTCCATAGTGACTCACTAAAGTCTTGTGGGACACTGTTGTGTATGCTGTCACCCTTGACCAAAACATCGTTATACAACACGTAACATGACTGTATCTTCCAACTGGATAGAAAAAATAGGTAGTTATCAAAATGATAATATAATACATGCATTACCTGGAGAATCCAAAGCTCTTTCTACATGAGATAACCTATGCTTTTTTTTTTTTTTTTACTTCTCCACGAAGTAGCTAAATAAAGAAAAAATTGCCACATACTTACAGTTTAAATGGGACTGACTCAAACCATAGCTAAAACCTCCTCCCATTTCTGGCAAAGGTCTGTGACTCTCTGATTCTCCCATGTTATTTACTTCACAGTTAAAAAGATTAAAAGTTGTGGCATGGCGACTGTAGCATAATGGTTACCACGCCAGCCACATACACTAAGGTAGGTGGGTTCAAATCCAGCCTGGGTTAGCTAAGCAACAATGACAACTGCAAAAAGAAAATAGCTGGGTGTTGTGGCGGGTGTCTGTAGTCCCAGTTACTTGGGAGGCTGAGGCAAGAGAATCGCTTAAGCCCAAGAGTTTGAGGTTGCTGTGAGCTGTGACGCCACAGCACTCGACTGATAGTGACATAGTGAGACTTTGTCTCAAAAAGAAAAAAGATTAAAAGTTGCTTTCTAGGTAGACCCCCATACTGAATTATAAACTGCTCAAATGTTTGCTGAAGTCAGATTCATGCTGAAAATAATAAGTGAATCCTTAAACTGGCTTTAAAATATTTGGGGGGAAATAAAGCAGGGATTATAAATAATAAATTAAAAATCTTAGAATTTCAGTAATCATTTATAACAGCAGGACCACATATATGGATTACATCATTTAAAAAACTAATTTGTAAATTATTCCCAGCTTTAAATCTAAGAACAAAATCTTTTTCATTGATATTTTCACTCCAATTGCTATTTCGGTTAGATAATAACAGCAAATGCCTTACCCATTCAGATGCGATATTGGGTTTTAAGTTTGGGAACCAATTTTGAACAATTCTTACATGCATGTTCAAGGAAAGTTTCCAGAAGGTTCGAGGCTTTAAGTTTCCTCTAATTTGCAGTTGCTATACCAAAAGTTCATCTGGTTCCACTTAGTCAACCGTATCAAATGTTGCCCAACTCACACTCTGAATGGGGTTCCTTTCACAAGGTAGTCTTCTGCTATTAGTGCCTATTTTTTATTTTTAAAAAAATATCTATACCAAATGATCAATAGGTAGCTCTAATTCTATTCTGGGAATTATAAAATGAACAAAGTTATAGGTAAAAATGTCAAGGAACAAGACTATTGGTGATCTGCCAAGTTCATAAAGAATTATCACAAAACTCTTAATGGCAAGGAGATCTTTATGTGAGGGGTGACTGTGGAGCAAGAATGCCAGGTGCCCGGTGGGCTTTATCTCACTTCCCACTCAGGGCATTGGGAGCACATCCTAGCAGGCAGCTCCCCATGCTTGCATCGCCTGTGAAGTCATCTGCACGTGCCCAGCACCAGGCCTAGAGGGCTCTCCTAAACGTTTCTCGCCTGTGGAGCAGTGAACCACAGAACCCTGGCTATCTTCTTGTTCACAATGGTCCACTCTCTTTTACTTCCTTTAAAAATCTCACAGATCTTACTGTCTCTGGAACACAAACTTGTCTTACAGGAGAACCACTGTGACAGAGGGGTCCAAGTGCTCAGATGTCAAAATCTGGGGTTTCATTTATTGCTACAGGGTATGGTACAGGTGAATCTACGGGGTTCTCATTCTTAAGTCATTAGGGAGACTTTTGCCTCACCTCAATCCTATTGTTCTTCTGAGCCTGCTTAGAAGACCAGTCACCATTTTCCAAAGTATTGTATACACTGTAGCTGTCAATTCACACTCAGCATCCCCATATGTGAGGACTACGGTATTTTATGCAGATACACCCTAGGTACAGTCCCCAAAATCAACTCCCCTAGGAATGTAAGAAACCCTCAACCCCATCATGGATTACAAAATATTTTGTTTTGTAACACCCAAATTCTCTGATTTCCTCTCTAGCTATATGTTGTTGAGAACATATTCTGCAAAATTAACTAGTAAAACCTAAAACTAGTTGAGGCCACTAAGAGCTGGTGCCCAGAAAGAAGCTGACTCAAGAGGCTTGAGTTCCAACTCAAGAGAACAAGGATGAACTTCCCTATTCGTGAAGCAGAAATACAACTAAGCAGCACAGAGCACCTTTGTTGGAGACCTATCTTTACATCAGGACAATTAAAATAAAGATCATCTAGAACAGCATTTTCCAAAAGAACTTTTGCCATGATGGAAATATTCTTATTATAATATCTACTGTCCAGTATGGAAGCCACTATCCACGTGTCGCTACTGGGCACTGGAAATGTGGCTAGTATGACTGAGGAAAAAGTATGACTTTTGAGACAAGGTCTTGCTTTATTGCCCAGGCTAGAGTCACAATCACACCTCATTCCAGTGTTGAATTCCTGGGCTCAAGTGATCCTTGTGCCTCGGCCTCTCGAGTAGCTGCAATCCTAAGTGTGAGCCACCACGCCGCACCCATAATTTAAATTTTAACAGCCAATGTAGACAGAGTGTTGGACTGTGTAGCTAAGAAATTGCTATACGAATTTTAAAGTACTATAATATAAAGATGAATCTAAATTCTAACCTGCAGGCTGTGCTTCCAAACCAGAAAGTCTAATGTGATTGGCTAGAAAGTCTGGCTGTGACAACTGGCATGCACCTTTCTTAAAGCAGCCAAACATTAAAATCAGACTTTTCTCCCTTCTCCCATTGGTAATATACAGTTTAACAGTTGCAAATCCACGGGGGGCTGGTATTTGACTGAATGAAAAGGCGGAAAGCCACCTTGCTGGGACACATCTCCATTTTGGAAGAAGGAAATGGGAGACAGGTGACTTTCCAGCTGCAGGAACTGAAGTTTGA